TTTATGATGATGCTGATGCTGATGCTGATGCTGATGCTGATAATGATGACACACCAATAATGATGCTCATAATGATGATGATGATGATGATGATGCTGTCAGAAATGCTGATGATAATGATGAAGATGATGTTGATGATGATGATGATGATGATGATGAAATTAAGGATGTTAAAAATTAAAATAGGATATTATGATTGATTATGATTATTTTGATTATGATTAGACTCGCAGCCCTGAGAAGCGGTCTTAAAAGAAAACAATTACCAACTCACTACTGAAGAAAAAAATGCTAAAAAAGCCAACCCCTCTCCCTCCCCACCTCATCCCCTCCCCCCCTCTTCTCCCTTCCCCTCTCTATCCCTACTTTCCCCATACCTCTCCCCCATTTCGCGCTTCCTCTCCCCCCATCCTTCCTCCCGCCACTTCCTATACTGGAAATCCTGATATCTGTTCTGTACTCCAGAAACAGCCCGCAGACCCCAATATAGAAGTAGCAATCGGTCACGATCAGAGAAGAAAAACAAAACGAAAAAAAAGGGACACGGGAAAAACGAAAGATAGTTGGAGGGGAGGGAAGATAGCGTGGCGAAAACGAAAAGGGTGGAGGGAAGGGAAGATAGCATGGGGAAAAAGAGAAAGGTGACTCCCAGGACGATAATGCTGATGATGATGATGATGACGACGATGATGATGACTTCAACGATGATGATACCTCATGATGATGATGATGATGATGATGATGATGATGATGACAACAATACCTGCGCGTCCTTTGCAACCGATGAAACCGTCATGACGCCTGCGCTATCCCGATACACAACAATGCCTGCTCATCCCATGCAAGATAAGAGACCGTTATGACGCCTGCGCTATCTCGATACAAATAATGGTGAAAAAAACGATGTCAATGATTTTACCTCCCTGCAAATGCGGCATTCATCGTAACTAATGATGCCAAAGATTTCGCCTCCCTGCAGATACAGCATTTCCATGAGGAAAGGAATGAAACGGCCCACAGATTACGAAATCCAATCAACTACCTCCCACTTAATAACTCCCATCAATCCTCCTCCCACCTCGTCGGACACACTCTGCTCTCCTCCCTCTTGCGCCGCGCCGACCTCCTCCACCCAAATTAGCAAGACGGAGAGCGCGAGTGATCCTTCCTGAAGATTAGCTTTGAAAAAAGCTTCTCTCCCCTCTGACCCGCAGCATCGCCCCCATGAAGCACCAAGCGAAGAGATGGCACACATAGTGCTTTCAAAAGTCAGGAACTAGAAAGTAGAAAGGTGTAAGCCTATTATTGTCATCCGCTTCCGTTTTCTTAACTTCTGAGTACGTAGCCCATTCGCCGTCCGTCAGTGCCTGCTCCATTCTCCCTCATTACTGATGTGTTGTCGCGACCAATCTCGCGCTAGCACGCCACGCGTGCATCCCTGGTATTTCCCCCACTCCCACCAGCCACAGCAACAAGCCCCACGAGACGCCTGCACCCATTCAGCCAGCAAAGAACGCTTGAACCACCATGGACTCGCACCCAACCTGCCAGCAGCACACCATACCCTCCAGCCACGACCGCGCGCGCCCCCGGAAGCGCGCACCCAGAACAACATCAACAAACGAGACGCGCGCACACGTCCAGCCGATACACGTGACGCGCGTGCACTTGCACTCGAACGCTCCATGGAGACAGCGCTAACGCGCGCCTGTTAACTTGTTCCGCTATTCCACATAGTGTTTCGCTTTTGCGCTCTGATATCTCTAAGATATAATATTATATACATATATATCCGATGAAACAGTTTGTCACAGCCCCTCGTTTGTTGTCCTCTTCTCCCTCTCTGCCTACGGTTTACCGTAGGCAGATCTGTTTGACGATATACATTCGATATAGTCTGTAGAGTTTTCCATCTGGTGTGGGTGAGTGATAGTC